CTAGAACAATTACGACTGGGTAGTGAGTTCGATCCTCACTGGGTGACCCCTAATTTCGGCCTTGTGCCACATCTAAGCTACGCTTGGAAAATCACTATACCACTTATATAACACTATCTTCAGGGTATATGTATAAGCTATGTTGTGAAATGCAAAGAGATGGGTTTATGCTTCGGTTCCATTCCCAAGCTGCTCCATGTAATAGTTGCTGTATATAAACTAAAATGTTCCAAATTAAAAAAAAAAAAAAATCTGAAAACCGAAGCACTTTCGGTGACAAGAATTTAGGATAAAGGATTCTCAACCTATATAAACGCATCTTCTCCAAAATGAAACAGTTTTAATCATTGATAAGATCAATATGGCCGAAGGTTATCAAGTGGGTTCTTTTTCATAAAGTCTGATTAAAAATATTATTGTAATGTCACATGGAATGCCATGCTTTAACATACTTTAATTTTTGACTGTTCAAGACGTACGCAATCAAAGACCACTACACACCCACTTTCTTTTATTATCACTGTAACATATATATATATATATATATATATATATATATATATATATATATATATATATATATATATCTATGTGTGTGTGTGTGTGTGTGTGATAAAATAAAGAACAAATAGGAAACATTTTAAAATGTTCGAGCCTTTTAAATTATATTCTTGCTCTGTCTCTGACATAGAGTTCTACCTGGATTTTACACTCTTGAATATATATATATATATATATATATATATATATATATATATATATATATATGTGTGTGTGTGTGTGTGTGTGTGTATAGTTGTGTATACGGAATAAATTCCAATTGGTGTATACGGAATAAATTCCAATAATAGTAACAATTACTATTCTTTAAAACAGTGCTCAATATGTTATAAAATTCACTACAAAAATAGCCATTTTGTTTCAACACCTCCAGTGTCTTATCAAGTGATGATGTTGAATGTACAATATTCTACATTCAACATCATCATTTGATAAGACACCAGAGGTGTTGAAAACAAAATGGCTATTTTTGTAGTGATTTTATAACATATTTATGTTATAAATTTTAAATAAATAATTATATATATATATATATATATATATATATGTTGCCTATTAATATTACATACAGTGTATCACAAAAGTGAGTACACCCCTCACATTTCTTCAAATATCTAAGTATATCTCTTCATGCGACAGCACTGAAAAAATTACCTTTTGACACAATGAAAAGTAGTCTGTCTGCAGCATATATAACAGAGTTAATTTCTTTTCCCCTCAAAATAACTCAAAATATAGCCATTAAAAGCTAAATCCCTGGCAACAAAAGTGAGTACACTCCTAAGAAACTACACCCCTAAAAAGTGAGTACACTCCTAAGAAACTATACCCCTAAATGTCTAAATTGAGTACTGCTTTTCATTTTCCCTCCAAAATGTCATGTGACTCATTAGTGTAACGATGCCCATGTGTTCATGGGGAGCAGGTGTATTCAAATTTGCAGCTCTAACACTCTCTCTTACCGGTCACTGAAAGTTCCAACATGGCACCACATGGTTAAAAAACTCTCTGAGGATCTTAAAAAACGTATTGTTGCACTACATAAAGATGGCCAAGGCTACAAGAAGATTGCCAACACCCTGAAACTGAGCTGCAGCACAGTGGCTAAGATCATTCAGCATTTTAAAAGAGCAGGGTCCACTCAGAACAGGCCTCGGTAGGTCGTCCAAAGAAGCTGAGCGCACGTGCTGAGCATCACATCCAAATGCTTTCTTTCGAGATGAAAGAGATTGGGATTCAGCCTGTTAGTGTTCAGACCATACGCCGCACACTACATCAAATTGGTGTGCATGGCTGTCACCCCAGGAGGAAGCCTCTTCTGAAGGCAATACACAAGAAAGCCCGCAAAAAGTTTGCTGAAGACATGTCAACAAAGCCCATAGATTACTGGAACCATGTCCTATGGTCTGATGAGACGAAATTTAATTTGTTTCGTTCTGATGGCCTTAAGCATGTGTGGCGGCGACCAGGTGAGGAGTACAAAGATAAGTGTGTCATGCCTACAGTCAAGCATGGTGGTGGGAATGTCATGGTCTGGGGCTGCATGAGTGCTGCAGGTATTGGAGAGTTACATTTCATTGAGGGAAACATGAACTCCAACATGTACTGTGAAATACTGCAGCAGAGCATGATCTCCTCCCTCCAGAAACTGGGTCGCAGAGCAGTGTTCCAGCATGACAATGACCCCAAACACACATCCAAGACAACCAGTGCTTTACTGAAGAGGCTGATGGACTGGCCAAGCATGTCTCCAGACTTGAACCCAATAGAACATCTTTGGGCCATCCTCAAGCAGAAGGTGGAGGTGCGCAGAGTCTCAACATCCACCAGCTCCAAGACGTCGTCATTGAGGAGTGGAAGAGCATTCTAGTGACTACCTGTGAAGCTCTGGTAAACTCCATGCCCAGGAGAGTAAAGGCAGTTTTGGATAATGATGGTGGCCACACAAAATATAGACATATAGGTATGTTGTATGTTAATATTGACAACTTTTCCTAAGGGGTGTACTCACTTTTGTTGCCAGGGATTTAGCTTTTAATGGCTATATTTTGAGTTATTTTGAGGGAAAAATAAATTAACTCTGTTATATATGCTGCAGACAGGCTACTTTTCATTGTGTCAAAGTGTCATTTTGTCAGTGTTGTCCCATGAAGAGATATACTTAGATATTTGAAGAAATGTGAGGGGTGTACTCACTTTTGTGATATATATATATATATATATATATATATATATGTTGCCCACTAATATATATGTATATATATATATATATATATATATATATATATATATGATAAGAAAGAGAGTTTACACCTTACTGAAGGATAACATATTTTTAACGCGAACATTTTTTGTTAAATACACCGATCAATTGTGTGTGTGTGTGTGTGTGAGAGAGAGAGAGAGAGAGCATTAGCAGTTAATAGATAAAAAATTCAATTACTTATCTTCCAACACAGAGTTTTGCAGATACACTCGGTGAAGCCAAGACAAATCCATTGAATTTTTTAAGATATTACATTTCAGAATAGATGATGTTATGATGTTTCTACAATAGAACAAATTTAAAAAAACTGGTTGACGTCAATAATTAACTTTTTTTATGTGTCGTATTTTAAAATAGATTCTACCATTGTACCCGGGTCCACCCCTTATGGGACCATGTCGGCGAGTTGACGGCTCGTCTCGCTCCCGAAAGGCTCGTGCTTATTGATTGCGTATACGCGTGTGACAATGTATCGCCCCCGTATTCTGGGGTGAAACGAATGGTGTTTCTGACGCTGCTGGCCACGGCCCGAATGGTGATTTGGATGACGCGAATTGAGAAGTCTTGCGAGGCAACCGTCTTTCTCATCAGGATCTAATCTTTGAGCATCAGCTCAAGATGAAGATTAGAATTGATAGAGAACGCCTGCATTCGACAGCGAAAAGGTGGGTGAAAGAGGCGATCTTGATTCATTTGAACGGGGATAGCCTTGATTTTCTCTTCTAGGTCAACCTACGTCACATCGGAGTGGTTTCATGTGGAGCTCTCTTCCTGGTTAGGTTAGACAAGCTTTTGTGTACCTAGTTAATGTAAGAGTTGTTCCTTGCCTGTTCCCGGCTGCCTCTTTGGTTATGGTCCAAGTTGAGATTCCCAACATCCACAGTTTGTTTCGGCCCCTTTTTATCTCGACTGGGTCAGCTTTTTCTTTCCCATGTAGGTATATTTTTCTCCTTTCCCACTCCCTTAGCGAGAGAGCCTCTTGATTTTGTTCAAGGAGCAGAATACAGCGGCCTCTCTTTTTTGAGGGTTGGGCGGGCCCTACTAACATCAGTTATGTTTAGTTTACTTTTTGTTTATATTTAGTTTGTTTTGGGGTTCATTCCCCCCACTTCTCATTCTATTTATCCATAAATTTTTAAGTATATATTTTATAATCATTAGATTTTTATGGCATGGGGGCGCATTTTGTAGGTCCCCTCTTGAGAGGATGCGGTATTATGGTGGATGGAGGACTGAATGGTGACGGCCGAGTTCTAATGGTGAATGTAGAAATTGTAATGTATGAATGGGTCGTTAATCAGATAAGCTAGGTATAAGATAGTGATGACCAGCCTCAACCCTTCCCCGTTTTGGCCTTGTGCCGCAATTGTATTTTAAATACAATAAATAATAATATTCAGTAAATTTATCTTACTCCTGAACAGCGGATCTACAAAAACTCCGCATCAGAAGATAAGTCATTGACGTTTTATTTATCTATTATATATATATATATATATATATACACACACACACACACATATATATATATATATATATATATATATATATATATATATATATATATATATATATATATATATAGAGAGAGAGAGAGAGAGAGAGAGAGAGAGAGAGAGAGAGACCAATGTTTTAAAATCCCCTTAAAACCTTTTTAAAAACTGAGAGCAATGGCAAAGAGCTTGTAAAGGCAAGGATTTGAAAACATCGGTCTATATCGGACTTTGTAATGATTCTATCTTTGATATTGAGAACTGTTAAAAAGCAACATTAAGTTGTATTAATTATTTGCATAACAGATAGATATGCTGGTTCCAATCAGTATAGGAATGAGTGAAAAACACTTCGCCCTCCCTAATTTATAAGCAAAACACACAAATTTATGCTGGGATTTTTCCTAACCAATAAGATTAGGCCACTTCCCGGTCTCATCTGACTTAGTTCTGGTCTTGCTTGTCCTGAAGCCAGGAAGCTGCGATCACTTGTCTGTACCAGTTTTGTGTGTTAACACCATTCTTAGTTTGTGAACATATTTTTTTTTCTTATTACTGTTGCTTTGCCTTGCATATATTGTTTGCCTGCTGAATAATTTTCGGTCTGTTCTTTTGTTTCCCTTATTACTGTTTATTAGAAACTTTGTCAATTCTGCTTGTTGGGCATTTCTGTTAATTACATTTAATCGTGAATCAATTCCGCTACTAGATAGATAGATAGATAGATAGATAGATAGATAGATAACGTTATTTACTAATCTTAACCTGGCACAAGGCCATAAGTGAGTGGGTAAAAGTAATAGATGAACTCAATACGTTACAACTAATAAATTCTGCGAGATTAGCTAGCTGTGGTACCCATATGATATTTAAAGTTTATAAGATAGATAGATAGATAGATAGATAGGCTGGTTGTACACAGGACTCCCTTCTATAAGTATCCATTTGTTTCACCTTATGTATGTACATGTCAGTGATTAGCTCTTCTGCAAAAGTCTTTCTCCTCTGGGAGTTCCTTTATAATTCTTTCTCTCTTGAAGATTTCAACCCAAAGAGGTGCCTGAAGGCAAGAAAGCTTCCAATATACTTTTGAATTTCTTCTGCCGCGTTCCTATCAGATTCTCGACAAACACCATACCCACAATCGTCTATCACCCCTCACTAAATCTACACTGCCACATTCAGGGTCACATTCTCTCTCTTTCTCGCCATCGCTCAGTGACCATCAATGACTCTCACTTTATCTTGCCACTCTGTCTTTCACCAGGCCATTATCAGCCACGAAGTCCGAGCGGCCCATACCTCACCCTTCGCATTTTTGTTGGCCTTTTCCACCGTGATTACTGTCCTCTGTAATAAGCTTTGCAAACTGTCAATGATGAGATGTGAATTGATTGGAAGAGTGGATGCTTAACAAGCTTACTGGGCTAGTCGTGAATGGTCAGTCTGGAGTTCGTCATCGTGGTCATACAAAAATAGTCTCTCTCTCTCTCTCTCTATGTGACTTCATCTTTTTTCACAAGCACACATATATATAAATATATACGCAAAAAGACACAAGTATATTACGCACATACAGATATGTAGTCTTGTGGCTATATGCATGTATACGTATATATTCATGTATGTGTGTCCATGTGTGTCATACATTAAGTGAATATCACTCATATATATATATATATATATGTGTGTGTGTGTGTGTCTTCTACAGGAAGTCCGATTTTGTTATGCAAGTCAATATTTTTTAACTAGAATTGGTATTAACCAAACGTGGTTGATAAACTTTATAGTATTCAGGTGAAAGCAAAAGTAATATACCAATATTATAATAGTGGTTTTAGGATTCATTTAATTCATTAAAACCATTTTCAATATTTCTATTTTCATAATTTTTATTATAATATATTTATTATAATTTTTATTTTTTTTAATAAATAATAATAAATGTTTTTTTCAGGTAAAAAGGAATGTGTGAATGACGTGGGCAAGCAGTTTGAACATTTGAGGGACAGATATGTTTATTATTGATATGTTTATATAAGCAATACATTACGTTTTGTACACACGTTTTGATTTTCATTACTGTATACCTACTTATTATTCTTATTATATATTTATGACGTAAATATAACTATACAGGGAGTGCAAAAGTAGGTATACAGTAATGAAAATCAAACCGTGCACACAAAAATTATTTTTACTTTAAACGTTTTTGGTGTGTACCCGTGTTTGATAAGATTCCTGTATTTAAAGAGTCTGTATTACGCCTACCTGCCTACACACACCAGAAAATAAACTTGCCAGACTGAGCAGTCTAAAGCATGCCGTATCAGACTGGTTTTTCCAACAAAGCAGGACACAGGCTCGAAACCTGCATATATTTCTTTATTAAGTTTTCTTGAGTGTGTAGTAAGCTTGAGTAAGTGGATGGCAGAACAGGCAGGTAGACGCAAGACACTCTGCTAAAAAAAAACAGGGTGTCTACTCAAATATGGTTAACCAACAAAAATAACATTTATAACAAAAAAACAACGTCAGATGAAAAATAAAATATACATTAATATAATATATATATATATATATATATATATATATATATATATATATATACACACATACACACATTCTAAGAAACGAATGTAGAAAAAAAGGCTTGGAAAAGTTGATACTCACAGGATAGATTGAAGGAAAGAGGGATAGAGGAAAACGATGCATAAACAATCTAGTGAGCTTGAGTAAAAGGATGGCAGAACAGGCAGGTAGATGCAATACACGCTGCTTAAAAAAACAGGGTGTCTACTCAAACATGATTAACTAACAAAAATAACATTTAAAACAATAAAACAACATCAAATGAAAAATAAAAATATCCATTAATATTATATATATATATATATATATATATATACACATTCTAAGAAACTAATGTATGTTTATTTCCAACACAACATTACTTCTTACTAATTTGTCGTTGTTCACATGGAGTTACCAAAATCAAGCAAGTACAATTTAAATATCTGGGAGGTGTTTTAACAGAAGATGGTAAGTGCAACAGTGAAATGAAAAGGCACATTAGGAAAGGAAAAAAAAAGCCTGCCAAAATCTCAGGAATGTATTCAGAAACAGGAAATTTTTATTAGAAACAAAGGAGGACTGAAGTGGTACATAATATCAGTCCACCTATATGACAGGTAATGCTGAAGAATTTTCTTATGGATGAAGAAAAGATGTGAAGCAACAGAAATGTGCTTCTACAAGAGGATGCTGAGAATACCATAAACTGAACATGTGAGCAATAGCAAAGTTTTAGAGAACATGGAAACAAAAAGGCGACTTACATTTAATATCAGAAAAAGTTCTAGGGCACATAATGAGAAAAGAAGGCTGGGAAAGTTTGATACTTACAGAATAGTTTGAAGAAAAGAGGGATAGAGGAAAACGATGCATAAATAATCTAGTGAGCTTGAGTAAATGGATGGCAGAACAGGGTTTAGGAGTTATAGCAAAAAGACAAAATTTATTAAGAGGAAACACAGGAAATTGTGGAGAGCCATGATCGCTGTTTTTGTGAAGGGACATGGCATATAGAAGAAGAGTAATACATCCTCTCTTTACATGATATGTACTTTCAGAAAAGAGGTGTTTATAGTTCTTTACAATGTTCTGTATCTTGTTCTTTCTGTTTTTAATGTAACCGTGTTCTCTTTTAGGTATTTCTTCAATTCACTTGTACAAACTTGTCAAGTAGATCATGCATTGTTGTCTTTTGCTGCTCTTGTGTTCTTGGTATCCCATGAGGGTTACATTCTCCATACATTGTTTGCTATTTTTTTTTTTTTTTTAAATTTACCTCTTTCCAATTTTTAGCAACATTTTCTTATTCATATTAAAACTAAACACACTTGTAAACATATGAAGCACAAATACTTATAAAAGTTTGTTTATCTCAGAAAGATATATTACATAATGAAATATAAATACTCATTAATACATTGTTTCTCTCTTTTGCTTGAGTTATTTCTGCGAAAATATTCACTGAAACAAAAATACATCTGTCCACATATACAGCTATTTTTTTAATGCGACAATGGCACTTAATATGTAGGTATATATATATATATATACATATATATATATATATATTTAAAAGAAAAACAGACCACTTTAAGGTACCATTATAATAATTTATTTCACCAGAGTCATTTTAAAGGACGCCGGATCATCAGATAGCACTTCCAAAAATGAAATGAAACAAAAAATGAAATTAAAATTGATGGGTAGTGTAAGTTTTTGTAATTTAACAGAGAGTGTAAAAGGGATAGTTAAAGAGACATCTCTTTACTTCCCTCTCCCTCTTCTTTCTTTTTCTTTTTTCCTTTTTCTTTTCTCCCTATTCCCCTCCCATTTCAATATATCACTTCCATTAAGTTAACTGTCTAAATAGGTCAAGGTCTGCTCACTCCTCCTCCCCCAACATAAAGTATACTTGAGAGAGATATGAAATTAATCCCTCCCTATACTCTACCATGTCTCTTTAACTATCCCTTTTACACTCTCTGTTAAATTACAAAAACTTACACTACCCATCAATTTTAATTTCATTTTTTGTTTCATTTCATTTTTGGAAGTGCTATCTGATGATCCGGCGTCCTTTAAAAGGACTCTGGTGAAATAAATTATTATAATGGTACCTTAAAGTGGTCTGTTTTTCTTTTAAATATTAGCTCTGGATTTATATTGAGCTCTCAGGATTTCATCTTCCTTGGGATTACCCATATGGATTACCAAGTTCTTCATAACTTAAATATATATATGTGTGTGTGTGTGTGTGTGTGTGTGTGTGTGTGTAAGTAAATCAATGTCCACAGCTTTATGATGAAATAAAAAAACATCCATTTTTGTACAACAAATATTTACCTTTCAAGAAAATTTCCTTCCTTTTAAATGCACTTAACCACCATATCTCCATTAATCAAAATTTCAACAAACTAGTGTTGCATATAAATTTGCTTGCCTCCTTGGAAAAAGCTAATTTTTTTTTCATCTACATGCAAAAAAAGGTGAAAAATAATGGAAGCCTTATTAATCAAACCAAAAAACCAACACTGAATATCAACTATGAACATGGACACAATTTCCTGACTGTGTTTTGAGAATGAAAACATTATATAAATACATGCATACAACAAACTATTTTCTGCTAACAGTTAATATATTTCAACCTTGAAAATGACTAAATGTATAGCTGAGAGTGTTTGGATAAAAAGAACAATTGGACACTTTTTATATAATTTATCATCCCCAAAAAAAAATTGTTACATCACAAGAAATTGTATAAAAAAATAAATTAAAGCATCTTGTCTGTCATATTCAATGAAATGTGCATATATATATATATATATATATATATATATATATATATATATATATATATAAAAGAAATGGACAAGGTCCGACAATTTATTTATTAAAGACATTTTATTATGTTTAACGTTGTTATTTTTTATAGATACAAGTATTTAAGCAAATGCTCTGTTTATGATAAACAGTATTAAATAACATTTACCGGCCTGAATGTCCGATTTTTCATAGAAAATATTCGTTCTTTGACAGGATTCGAACCTGCATCCTATACGGAACCGTCATATTGACGTGCCTTACCGCTTAGGCTAAAAAGTAGCGTTCGTAGACAAGGTCGAATTTACTTATAAACTCCTATCTTCCATGAATCTCAGACATTCATAACTGCTCTGGCGTATCCTAAACAAATGACGTCATATATTAAGAAATGGACAAGGTCCGACAATTTATTTATTAAAGACATTTTATTATGTTTAACGTTGTTATTTTTTTTAGATACAAGTATTTAAGCAAATGCTCTGTTTATGATGAACAGTATTAAATAACA